AAAAAAACTTAAGTAACCACCGACAGTGAATAATGAGGTATCTGTGATCGCGTGGATGAAATCTGTACGACGAAAGTTGGCTTGTTTCGGTCGGAAGTCTTCACTCAGCGTGATTGCAATTTTTTAACTGCTTTTATTAGATCGTTAAGTTTTTTTTTAGACACTTAGATTAGATACCAAGGTACCCGAAAACTCCCCATTGACCGTTGCCTGTTGCAATAATTATAATTATTAATTTAATATAATTGTGCAGCACTTCTTTATCAACAGTACTTATAGTTTTTTTTAAATTTTTTTTTTAGCGTTTTTTCAGTTGTTTTTTAAGCGTATAAAGAGCCGCTTTCATTAGTGCGTATTTATGCCAGGTGCGCGTCAAACGTTTACGCTCGGGAGTTTCACTTTTTTATTCGGTTTTTTAAGCGTTTTATTATTGTTCAGCACCCCAATTCTTCTATATAGCTATATGAGCTTTTTTTTTTAAGCGAATATTCTGCTGCCTGTATTAGCGCGTACCGATACGGGGCGCGCGTTAGAGGTTTACGCTCGGGCATTCCACTTTTGTATTCAGTTTTGAAAACTGAAAATTTGAAATAACGAGTAATTGCAAAAATGACAAACTGATTCTGGTGTAAAATCACATATAGAACATTTTAACTTCTGTGACAAATTGTCGTTGGAACCCCAGGTGACCGATGAAACGTGAATGTAAATTGAAAATTTCGAAAAATGAAAATTCACGTTTACGAACTATTTTCCGGGAAATTTGTGAGAGATAGGTCGAAAGTCATAAGACATAAAATTAATCGCCATAACTATCTACATAAGTTGTTTGCATAAAATTTTTCATTTACCAGTTATTGAGGATTATTCTTCGAAGTTTTTCACCCGTCACATGAAATAGCGTTTGCTGCATGATGCCCGTATATGGTTTTCGATTATAACTGTTGTAAGGCTTTACCGTGTTGTTGATTATCAGTTTGTATAATTTTAGTTTTTTGGGGAAGTCGGAACTGCTTCTATTAGTTATTATCGTAGACACCTAGGGACCCGAGAACTTTTCCTTGACCGTTGCCCTGTCGCCTCTTGCGAGTACCCGGCTACTCTCACTTGAACTTAGAAAATCTCCCCGGCAGTAATTTTTCGACCTGCTACCAGAGGGTACTCTCACGAATATTTTCTTATTTTTTTTTTTTTAAATTATATTTTCCAAATGGTGAGAGTTCTCTATCAATATTCGAAAATTTTGCTATATTGTCTCCGATACGAAACGTTACGCAACATCGATACGAAATGTCATATCTAGGAAGAATGCTAAAATTTTTTTTTTACGCCGTACGTAGTATTGCAGTCACAGCCATTTTACGTAATAGCGATGCGAAACGTTCCGCTTCTCCGATACGAAACGTTACGCATCTCCGATACGAAACATCCGTAGTGTTCAGCGCTAGTGTCGCAGCGTCTATAAATATGGGTGCGCTTATATAGCATTTTTAAATTTTTTTTTAAGCGTTTTTTAAGTTGTTTCTCAAAGCGTATAATGGGCCGCTTTCATTAGTGTCCCTATCTTTGGACAAATATTATTTTTCGTTACCCAACATATAATTTAATAACAATTAATTTAAATTAAAATAACTATATTAATAATTTAATGTGCGACTGCCCTTGATCGTTGCCCGTTTCCCCGGTGAGAAATTTCAATCCCGGACGACGAAAATGTTGTTGCCCGAACTGCCGTTGTCACAGAGCTCCCTGGCTCTTTGTTTCCTAGTTATTTTTCTAGTTCCCACAAGTTATCGTATGTTTTTACTTGGCATTATAGAACATGTTCAAAGCCAACGTGACAAATGCGCTTAACGCCATTACCCAAGGGTCCTCGTCAATTGGTCAGGCCGCAAGAGAACACGGAGTTCCTGAAACTACACTTCGAGAACTGGTCCGGAAGTTGAAGATTGTACCTAAGATAGTAAGTTATTGTCTCTTTTGCAAAAAACAATTTTATACTTGTGTTTCTATAAATATATAGGCATCTAGAGGCTATGTAAGGATGAAGGACAATGCCAATCTATCCAGGGCCGTTGTTTTGGTAAAAGAGTATGGGTATACGGTGAACGGTGCGTCCCGGGAAACGAAAGTTCCCCGTACTACACTGAAGAAGGCACTGAAGAACTACAATAATATCAAAGGTGAATAGTAATTATTTTTTTCTATTGTATAAATATTATTGAGTTACATATTTTTGTTAAAATTTTAGAGTCTCTTCCACCACCATCGGCCCGGAGCAACCCGATTGTTGTTGCGGAAACGTCCGTTTCGGGGTCCGATAGTTTGGCCAAAAAAGGTAACAGTTAATTTATTCTTTTTACCGTATAAATTATTGAGTTACATATTTTTGTTAAAATTTTAGAGTCTCTTCCACCACCATCGGCCCGGAGCAACCCGATTGTTGTTGCGGAAACGTCCGTTTCGGGGTCCGATAGTTTGGCCAAAAAAGGTAACAGTTAATTTATTCTTTTTACCGTATAAATTATTGAGTTACATATTTTTGTTAAAATTTTAGAGTCTCTTCCACCACCATCAGCCCGGAGCATCCCGATTGTTGTTGCGGAAACGTCCGTTTCGGGGTCCGAAAGTTTGGCCAAAAATGGTAACAGTTAATTTATTCTTTTTACCGTATAAATTATTGAGTTGTATATTTCCGCAGATAACGCACCGATTGTTGTAATGGAGACGTCCGTATCAGAAGAGAATAAGATTTTAGACGAAAAAGGTAACAGAATTTATAATATATAATGAATAATAGTTTAAGTCATAAACTATAATCACTTATTCATAATGTTTTTTTTAGTTGTGTTCAAAGGCAGAAAATGTAAACCAGTGGTGGTTAAGCGCTTGGTGGAGGTCCACCAGCGCTCGGCGTACTCCAAAAAGCCACCCCCAAAGGGTATAATGATTTCTCAATTTAATTTTTGGCCTCTCCTGAGTAATAATGTATAATGTGTATTTTACAGCCGAAAAACCAGTGGAACAACTGTACCAAGACGTTGAAGAGATTGACACCGATGCCCCAGCCAACGCCCCAGTCGATGCCCCCCCACCAACGAATGTTCATACGCGGTTTCCAGAGAAGTGGCTGACATTTACGCCCGTCGATACAGACGAGGGAGATGCTGTGGTTGTCGACATTGGAAACTGCAAGTGTTATCTTCATAATTTTTTTTATACATTTTATAATCGTATTATTTTACAGCTAACAAACCGCCACTCGTCGTTTCGATCGTCGGAGAAGACCCGTACGCTTTCGCCGAGGATGAGCCGGGTTTGTAGCGTTTATACTCACCTAACGAGCTTACGATTTTTATTTAACGTTACCGTTTTAGAGTTCGAACACTGGAAGCTGGTGCCGAGCACATCCGGTGTGAAGACTGCGTCGTCGTTGTCAGTCAACGGATGTGAGTTTTATTATCTTCACTAATTTGTTTAAAAATTTTATAAAAACGTAAAAATTTACAGCTATCAAACGTCCACTCAAGGATGTGTTTGCATCGTCGTCGTCCGAGGGTATGGACTTCCAGCCAGCGTCACCGATACCGTCTTGGGCAAACGGTTCGGCAGGGTCACCTGTAGCGGGGACGTCATTAACCACACCCCTCCCCGGTTCCGAAGACGGTATTGTTATATTTTGTAGTTTATGTTTAACATCGTTTCCTACGTTCGTGCGTTTCGTTTCAGCCATGATTGTCGGAAGTACTTGGCCCGTAAGTCGGCCGGTCTCGGAGGAGGTAAGTGTGGCAAGTGACCTCTACGACAGTGACGATGACGACGACGAGGAAAGTCGAGGCAGACGACGCCGCCTCAACGTCACCGAAAAGTACATAAATGTTGTGAGCAAACGAGTGAGTATTGCGTTTACTCATCGATGACTGCGAAAATTAACGATGTATATTTTTTATTTCGTTTATCGTATGTGTTTCAGTTGACGAAATACTGTCCCCTGTGTCCCTACAAGACAGAGGACAATAAATTGACGCGGCACATCGGTATTAAACACAGGGGCCAGATCAAACGACCAGTCGCGGCAAGCCTTAAATCAATTGGCCAGATCTTGGGCAACGAGTCTCGACGGTCCGTGTCACTGGTACCGATGTGCGCGGTAAAGGAAAAATTGGGCCCGTATTGGGACGATACGGCATACCGAAAAGTTGCGTTCCAGTAAGTACCGCTTTTCGTCGTCGCGTTGACGCTCCGTAACTTACCTAACCTAACATGATGTTTTGAAATTCTAGGTTATGCCTGATGGAGCGTATGAAGGTGTATGGTGAACAATGGAACCTGCCAGATGCGCCATACATTGAAAGCCCCTTTTCTCAATTCATTGAGGCGGCCCCGCAAGAAGTTCCCGTCAGTGACAGGGTTAACCTGAACGTCAGCACCGCCATTTCAGACGTTTCTACTCCACCAACCCCAGCAACCCTAGCTACTCCGAGAAACGATTCCCCGTGAGTATAATCTTCCAGACCAACCGGCGCGTCCACCCGGCGATTGCCCGACGGTCATCCGATTTCATTATTCATTCCTTTTGTTCGCAGATCCGTGAAAAAAATTCGAAAAGGGCTAACCGAAGAGGGACTGCAACAGCAGTTGCCCACCGATCACCCGCTGTTAAAACTTCATAGAAGAAGCCTTATTTTGAGCCACGGTGCCGATTCCGCGGCATCAAAGAATTACCAGGCAAACGTGGCCAGGGTGCTTTACCACGTGTCGGCGTGGCTCCGTGACCGGAAAACGCCACCTGGCCACTGGTCGGATCTGCTCACGTGCCCGGTCGACCCGTACGTCGATTACTTGGAGAAGTGAGTGCGAGGCGTCTTAACCACGTCGTTTGTTTGATTTTGTTTTTTTTTTTATTTCTTCGTTTTTTATTTCTTCGCAGGAGAGAGAAACTCGGCCAAACAATAGCTACGTCGATTAATTATTTGAAAAACCTTTGCTCACTCTTCGACATGGCGATAAATCAATACTCCATTGAGGATCGGTCTTTCCCGAAGACGTTTGATTTAATGCCATGTCCAACAGTATTAAACGAAATGAAATTATTAAAATCCAAGCTAAACTTGGTGTACAAAAATAAAAATAAAAAACAGCCTCAAGAGCTGTTCAGTCGGAAAACGTGTGAGGCCGACACACTGCCCGTCTACGCTGACGTACAGACAGTGATCAAGTCGGTTGAGGCGAACGTCCCCGCAGACCTCGATCAACTGGAGGAGAACTTCGGCCTTGATCTGGACGTAGATGTCTCCTCTGAAGCTGGGGCGTCGGCAAGACAGAGAATGGTGAGTCACGCTTCGTCGCCAGTCCAGACGGGCCACGAAGAAAATCGCTCACAAACTGTACGAACAAGTAACCCTTGTATTTTTTTGTTGTAGGTCAGCAAATGGTGACGTAAAGTCACTTGTGGCCTTGCCGTTCTGGTGCTATGGACGCCCAAGCACCGGAGTGGCGTGGTGTCAAATATGCTGTTGGGCGAGTGGGCCAAGAAGAAATTAGAAAACAGTAAAACAATTATAACCGTATCCACCCACAAAACTGGCGACCGGGAGCCCGCTCTCATTGTAATCGGAGACGAAATCGCCAGCCTAATGGATAGGTAATAGATCGTGAAACGCTTCCCATCGCCCTAATAACCGAACCTAACCGCGATTGTTTTGATGTGTTCGCAGGTACTATAAACTGCGTCAACGCGTCAGGACAACATCAAAGGAGTTTTTCGTAACTAACAAGGGCCAACGGTTGATAAAAATTTACGACGAACTAAATAAGATATACCACACAAAACTCTCGGCGAATATTTTCAGAAGGATGGTGGAGAGCCAGAGCAGGGGCCACGACAGAGTGACCTGCAGTGGTGTGGCGAAGGCTCTCCAACACTCCGAAGATACGGCCTTACGTTATTACCAGGTACCAGATGCGAGGGATTATTCGGAGGCAGCGACACATCGACGTCGTCGACGAGACCGCTGTCTTCGAAGACGTCGTGTCAAAAGAGTAAGTAAATTCGTGACTTGCGACACATTCCCCAAAACCTTACAACGACGTTGCTATACGAATTTTGTTTTTCAGGTTTGACATTCTATTTCCCATTGAGCCGTACGCAAGTTGGACCGACGCTGGCGTACGGGAAAGGCTATTGGATTCCGTTTCATATGCGGCGCATCCGACAGCCACCGTTACCGACGCGCTGGTCCAACGCGTCAAGGCGTGGTTTAACGATGCGGTATTGGAGGATAGAGCGGCGATCCTTGTCGGCCACTTAAGTGCTGACTATAACAAGCGGAACATAAGTAGACACGCGATTATCGACATGGCCAAGCAGAGGAAGCTGCATTATTTCCTCAACCAGGATCAGGACAAAATGTGTCGTCGCATAATGTCCCAAATGGCAGACTGAACGACGTGGGAACGTCAGTGGAGTCAACCACTTTAAAAAAACTGATGACGTGGGAACGTCAGTGGAGTCAACCACTTTAAAAAAACTGATGACGTGGGAACGTCAGTGGATTAGGCCTCTTGGGGAAACCACTTAAAAAAAAACGCGCTGTAGCTGATACCCCTCGGGTAGTGTGGAAATTCAGCTAGTATTGCGGCTGACACTGAAACAATAGGTTCGTTTGAAATTTGGAGGCGAAAAAGTTGCGGTATGGCAGTGCGGTATAGACAAGATGAGGCGTCCTCCGGTGTCCGCCGTTTGAACGACGAACTTCCGAAAATAATCACCGGCGTGGTGAACTATACACCCCGGGTCGACCCCTTTTCACGTACCGGAGCAGCATCTGCCGTCGGTAAACGATAATAATAATAATAATATAATTTAGTAGACTTATTTTTGTGAATTTTTTTCCTGCCTAAGAATATGGAGATTGTATTTTAATTTGTGTTCCGACTGTTGAAGTTGAAGTCCAAGTCCAAGGATCGCATTTTCATATTCTGTTTTACAATAGTGGGAGCCAAGGGAAAGTCAACCCCGGGGACCGAATCGAGAAAAAATCAATACCCGCCTTCAATCCTCGAATTCCCCGAATTTGTCCCCGTGAGACGGTCATCGAATTTTCAATTCCGTAAACGACGGCCGGCTGCCCGGGCGGCCGCACCGTGATCGGTCGCCGTCGAGCGATAAGAATTTTTTTGAATCAACAGGTGGACTTCAATCTCGGGAATGCCTCACTGATAAGGTCAACGTCACAGGGGAAATAACGATAAGATGTTTTTGAATCAACAGGTGGAACTCAATCTAGGGAAAGACTCACTGACGGGTGCAACGTCATGGGGGGAATCGCGATAAGAGGTCTTTGCATCAACAGGTGGAACGCAATCTCGGGAATGACTCACTGACGGGGACAACTTCGTGGAGAAGGTGAGGATGGAACGATGCACGGCGATATTAGAAATGTCCAGGTGCCCGGCGGACCGAGGCCTCGGTCCTCTCCACAGTCGATCGATCGTCTCCGAACTTTTTGCAACCTAGATATCTCGTTTAATATCCGTCCTAGCTCTATTCCACCTCTGTCCATTCACGGTTATTTTTCAATAAACTATTTAGTGTTAAAGTTTGAAAGCCGTCGGGTGAAATCTCGCAAAGTTGACTTCCGAAAACAATCGAAAATCTCACGGCGACACGGTTCGGGAATTTCGCGATTAAAGCTTTTAAACTAATTTTTTGCAGGCGCGGCCTTCGGGGTTGACTTCGGGCAGTCCCCGTACGCCAGATTCCGTCACCAGGTTATTAGCCGTACACGAAATCTGGAGAAGCCACGGCCGTCCGTCGACTGCCCCTTACCGGTCGTCGATCGCCCCGTGCGGTCTGTGAGTTGCCGTGCCGCTACGCACCGACTTGGCGTTTTACGCGGTCGCGGGCGCGTGTATCCGGTGCCAAATCGTATTTTCTTAAATTATGTTTTCCGACGTTGGCTGCCCGTGGTAAGTCAACCCCGGAGACGGCGTCGAAAAAAAACGAATATCCCCCTTCCACCAGTGAATTCCCCAAATTTCGCCCCGTCAGTCGGTCATCGAATTTGACGTTTTCAACGATAGTGCACCTCGATCACGAGAGTTTCGAACGATGGATCACTGACGGGTGCAACGTCACTGGGGAAAGACAATCCTGAAGACAGCGACGAGAAAAAACGAACACCATCCTTCAATCTCCGAATTCCCCGACATTGTCCCCGCGAGTCGGTCATGGGAAAAGACCAACTCACGGGGACAATGTCGGGAAATTTGGAGAATTAAATTAAATTACATTTCCCCCGTCAATCTGTTAATTCCCAAAATTTGTCCCCAACATTCGGTCATCAACTTTGACGATTTCCTCCGACGTTCAGCCATGGGCTTGGGATTCTCGGCCGATAACCTACTGACTGGCACATGGTCAACCCAGACGAACGTGGCGAAAAATAACCCGTGTCCCCGTGAAATTCCATGTCCTCGGGGACAAAACGGGGACAAAACGGTACACCACGGTAGCAGGTTAGACGCAAGTCCGTGTCCCCGTCACGGAGTCTGCTAAAAAAAAAATATTCAAAGTCCGTGTCCCCGTCACGGAGTCTGCTAAAAAAAAATATTCAAAGTCCGTGTCCCCGTGAGATCCTGTGTCCCCGTCAAATTCCGTCCCCGAATTGAAAAAAAAATATGGGCCATTTGCCCTCATCACGGTTCCAAAACGTGTCCTCTTCACGAGCCTCACTAACACAGACGCAAAAATACACGGATATTCTCGGCCCGTGAGTGAGCCAATCGACTCAGTGTCTTGACGGGGAATTGAATTTTCAGTCAACCTGTTGAGTTGGGCCCAGAGTCCGTTCAATCCGACGTCCTTCTCACAGGCCTCACTAACACACGCACAAAAATACGAGAGGATTGACGGCCCGTGAGAAGGACTTTTGTCTCGGTACGGAAGCTGCTTCCCCGAGGTCCGCTCAACCTGTTGAGGTTGTCCGAATCACCATGAGGGTGCTCGGGTCCCTCGTGTGTCGGTCTCGAAGTCCATTTCATAAGGACAATGTCAAGCGTAAATTCCCGAAATTGAAGTTTGCGGATTTTGACTTTCTAGGGAGAGAGGTTTTATGTTCACTTAGTCCAACCCCGGAAACCGCGTACTTCATTCTACATTAGTTAAGCAGTAATTCCATAAGAGTTCTTCACGGGCCGAGGACAATTGTCCTTGCGAGGGAGTCAAGTTTCCCGAACCAGTATGTCAATACCGGGAAAGTGTCGAAAGTCTATTAAACCCGACATTTACTCCGGGAAAGTCAGATTGTCGAACCTGTAGAACAATGTGTCCTTTGACTCTTCCCCAGGGGAATGCTTCTCCAGGGAACATTATTAATTCTTTCGCCAAGAATGCCACCGGTTTCCCTTTGATACCCCGTGAGACGGTCATGACGCGCGGACTTGTAATATTTTTTCGAGAGAATTTGGGATTGACGGTGGTGTACCGCTACGCGTGGAGTTGTAATATTTTTTCGAGAGAATTCGGGATTGACGATGGTCTACCGGTTTTAATTTTTCAATTTCAGCTGCCGAACCACTACGCGGCGAAATATTTTATCTTCGGGACACATCCTCGAATTCCCAAATTTTGTCCCCGTGAGTCGGTGTTCGAATTTTATAATTTCATCGACGGCCTGCAACCGCCTCGAAATATTTCTTCAGAGACCTCATGAGAGGGACAAAAAAAATGAATACCCTAGTTCAATCTTCGAAATTCCCGAATATTGTTACCGTGAGTCGGTCATTTTTAATTTTCCCTGACTTCACGACTTCATGACGGGGACAAATTCAACATACATAGTCCCTCGGGAGTGGTTTCGATCGAAATTCGAAAATGTTGCCACCCGACCCGCCATCGCAACGCTAGTGGCGTGGCGTCATTTTCCAATCAGTTGTTACTGTGTTTTATTTTTTAACTATTTTTTTACGCGGTCGCCGCTGACGTCTACCCGGCAACTCACCCTTTGACGTTGCGAATGTCCCCATAGTCGACCACACCGCCAAGCACCGACTTTTCGTATTGCGTGGTCAACCCGCGGTCAATCCTCGAATTCCCAAATTTTGTCCCCGTGAGTAGGTCTTCGAATTTTTATATTTTCATCGACCGCCTGCAACCGTCTCGAAATTTTTCTTCAGAGACCTCATGAGAGGGACAAAAAAAAATGAATACCCTCCTTCAATCTTCGAAATTCCCGAATATTGTCACCGTGAGTCAGTCATTTTTAATTTTCCCTGACTTCATGACTTCGTGACGGGGACAAATTCAACATCAATAGCCCCTCGGGAGTGGTTTCGATCGAAATTCGAAAATGTTGCCACCCGACCCGCCGTCGTCGATCGCAGCGCTAGTATCGCGAACGAAATTCGAAAATATTGCCACCAGACCCGCCGTCCTCGATCGCAGCGCTAGTATCGAGAACGAATTTCGAAGGTTTTGCTACCCGACCCACCGACGCAGCACTAGTGGCGCGTTCCCTGACTATTTTATTTTACAAGTTTTTTTTACCTGCCCCAAGGTTGCGCTTTAACAAATTGTTTTTTTTCTTACGCGGTCGCGCCGGTCGCATGTACCCGGCAACTCTCGCTTGAACGCCGACGATCGCCCCGAAAGTTTTAAATGTTGAGTTCACCTTCCCTATTATATTTTTAAATTTCTACTCCAATGTATTTCTCAACAGCGTAAGAAAAAAATTAGTAATATTAGTCACTGTCGATTTCTTTTATAAATTATTTTTCAATGATGTGGCAAATAATTATATCTTTATTTATGACACTTTAAAATTTACAAAAATTATGTTTATGTCGTATGAGTGAGCGTCAATGTTTAAATTTAATTTTGGCATATTTTCAAGTATTATTTTATATCACAACCGCGTAAGAAAAAAATTAGTTAACCCAACCTAAATTTTCCGTACTGCCAACAGAGGGCACTTTCAAGAATTTTTTTTTTTCCTTGACATGGTCGAGACAGGTGATTTCCTGGCGAGTGCTTCGTGAACGTAAACTGCTTGCCATGTGGGAGGTGTAAAAATAAAATTGTTGCTGCTTTTTTTCTTTTTATCTTACAGTTATTGTAAGTTTTTTCTCGACCTTGTAGATAATGTCACGAGCAAACATTCAAGATGCGATTAATGCCGTCACAATGGGTATCTATTCCTGTGGACAGGCAGCAAGGAATTATAATGTACCGGAGACAACCCTTAGGGACCTTATAAAGAAGTTGGGCATTGTTCCCCCAAAAGTAAGTTTTATTTGTCTTTTTTTTCAATAACTGGTTTTATAACTGTGTTTCTATAACATTTTTAGGCATCTCGAGGTTATTTCAAGGCGGATGCAAATCCGAGTTTGAAGGAGAATGAGGAGAAAAAATATAACGTTAGTTTAGCCTCACGTCATGCAAACGTACCACGTACTACGCTTAGAAATGATTTGAAAAACTATGATAAAATCAAACGTGAGTATTGCAAATAACGTGCTTATTTAACGGATAAATCGTTGAGTTATATGTTTTTGTAAACATTTTAGAGTGTCTTCCACCGGCGCCCAAACAGGCCAAACCGTCGGCCAATCCGTCTGCTGAACCGTCTACCGAACTGTCTGCCGAATCGTCGGCCAAACCGTCTGCTGAACCGTCTACCGAACTGTCTGCTGAATCGTCTGCTGAACCGTCTACCGAACTGTCTGCCGAATCGTCTGCTGAACCGTCTGCCGAATCGTCGGCCAAACCGTCTGCTGATCCGTCTACCGAACTGTCTGCCAAACCGTCTGCCGAACCGTTGCCTGAGAGAAATTTAGTCGTAAAAAGTAACGTGATTAATAATTTATAATGATTAATTGTTTGTGTAATAAAATATAATCGCTTATTGATTTTGACTTTCTTAGTTGTGTCGAAATTCAAGGGCAGGAAATGCAGAGAAGTGAAAGTCAAGCGGTTGGTGGAACTACAAACCAGGTGTGCCTACTATCCGAAAAGGGCAGCTATGGGTATAATAGCATTTAATTCTAATTTTTGGCCTTATGCAATAAGTTAATGAAATATTTTACAGTTGAAAAACCGATGGATTGTGATGTTGGTGTTGGGGAGCCCGAGGTTGAGGAAGTCATCGAGGAAGTCATTTCCATCGAGACCCCAGTGCCGATCAACACTCATCAACGTTTTTTGATGGATGACGAGGAAGTACTTATGGTGAACACCGAAAACCGTAAGTGTTATCTTCATTACATTTTTTATACATTTTATAATAACGTATTAATTTACAGCCACTAAGCAGCCCCAAAAAGCAGACGATATTTTGAAGTCATCTTATGACGTACACGAGTTCGAAGAAGACCCACAGGGTATGTACCATTTTTACTCACCTAACGAGTTTACGATTTTTATTTAACCATAATGTTTCAGAATTGGAAAATTGGAATTTAGTACCAGGTACGTCTAGAGTGAGGAAACTGTCGCTGAATGGGTCGTCATTCGACCGATGTGAGTGTTATTATCTTCATTACATTTTTTGTACATTTTAAAATAACGTATTGATTAACAACTATTGAAGGGCCGCTAAGAGTCAACGATGTCTTCACGCCATCACCATCTCCTAAATGCAGATTCCAGTTGGAAGAAGGCGAACCGGGTATGTACCGTTTTTACTCACCCAACGAGTTTACGATTTTTATTTAACCATAACGTTTCAGAATTGGAAAATTGGAAGTTAGTACCCGGCACGTCTAGAGTGAAGACACCGTCACCACCGTACGCTGATTTACGGTCACCGTCGCCGACTGGGTCGTCGGTCGTCCGATGTGAGTGTTATTGAAATCAGGTGTGTGGTGTTTTGTTTAATTAATATCGATATTTTTCCACAGCACCGAGCCCGTTGATATTCCGAAAAACCAGGCTGAATGTTTCGGAAAAAGCCAACAGCCGGATAACACAACGCGTAAGTAACTTTTGCACAACATCATACATTACCTCCTAGCTATAAACTTATGTTATCGTTTTTCGCAGCTGATAAAGTACTGTCCGTTCTGCCGTTACAAGACTGACGACAATAAAATGACAAGACACATTGGAATAAAACACGCGAAACATCTGCGACGACCGGTAAAAACGAGCCTAAATGGCATGGGCAAAATATTTGGATCGGAGTCCAGGCGATCCGTGTCCTTGGTGCCTATGTCCGTCATTAAAGAACAGTTGGGTCCTTATTGGGAAGATAGATGTTATAGGCAAATCGCTTTCAAGTAATTATAGATTTATATAAATATTGAATCTGAAAATATTTGTATTTAACCATGTGTTCCATTTCAACATTTTAGACTGTGCGTCATGGGAATTCTCAAGGTGTACGGCGAGTCGTGGGAACTCCCGGGGAGCCCAACCATCCCTAACCCGTTTGCAGATTTTATTGTAGAGGAGGAGCCGTCATCACGGATACCACCCAAAATCCCTCGCGTTATCCCGTCCGAGGAGTTACAGCCGTTACAGGTGGAAGAAAATATAGAAAATATAGTAGTGGAACAAACTACACCGTAAGTTGATGACGATTACCCAATTTTTTGTCCTTACCGGACACGACACCTTATCTAATTCCAACATTTGAATTTACAGAACAGCGGACTTTGGCGAAAGGTGACCTGTGGGTTGATGTTGTTAGTGCTTTGGAGGTCAAAGCATAGGAGTGGTGTAGCGGCCAATCTGACAACGGAGGAGTGGGAGGCCAGGAGAACAGACTGCAGCAACACCGTACTGACCGTGGCCAAACACAAGACCGGAGACAAACAACCGGCCTCCATTGTTTTGAATGAAAACATGGTGGAATACATGCACCGGTGAGTAGTACGCTTCATCTATACTCAGAGTTGCTCTTCTAACAGTGAAATTTTCGCAGGTACTACGGTCTACGCCACCGCGTCACGACACGGGCATGTCAGTTTTTTATCACAAACAGCAGGTGTGAACTGGTTGTTAAGCTTTACGATGAAATAAATAAAAATTACAAGTGCAAGTTGTCGGCCTGCTTTTTCAGAAAAATGGTGGAAACTGAATCCATGGGCCACGCACCTGAAACCAGCAAAAACATTGCAAAATCGCTGCAGCACTCAGATGTGGTGGCTGATTTTTTTTATAGGTTGCCGGGCACACAGGAGGCCATCCGCCGGCAGAAACACATTGACCTGGTCGATCAGACTGCCATGTTTGAGGCGGAGACCTTGGAAAAGTGAGTTACTGATTGATTTATATTAAAGAGTACATAACGATAACAAATTTTTATTTTATTACAGCTTCGTGGAGGTATTTGGAAACGAGCCGTACGTAAATATGACTGATGAATGTGTGAGGGAAAAACTTGACGGTTCCGATGCCCTCCACAAACATCCAGGTGCCGTCATAACGGAATCGTGAACACGGTGAGGTCAAAATATGACGAAAATGTGATGGAGGGGAGAATTGAAATTATATATGAAGTAGCGCGACTAACTTACGACAAAAATAACATAACAAGGCACGCTATTGTAGATATAACCAAACAGAAGAGAATCATCTACTTTTTAAAACAACATAAAGAAACAATGATAAACAGCATTTTAAAAAGGTTCAATAAGAAATAAATGAAAAAATACTAGTAACCGACGTTGGGACGTCAGTGGAATAGGCCTCTTGGGGAAACCACTTTAAAAAAAACGCACTGTAGCTGATACCTCTTGGGTAGTGTGGAAATTCAGCTAGTATTGAGGCTGACACTTAAACAATATGTTCGTTTGAAATGTGGAGCCGAAAAAGTTGCAGTATGGCTGCGCGGTATACAGGGTGATTTCTTTATCGTGAACCAGTTAATATCTCGGGAAGTATTAGTAATTTTAAAATAATTTTTTTTTTAAACTTTCTAGGTTTAACTATTTTACACTGTGTTACAATTTTGAAAATTTTAACTTCCTCCCTTATTTGATAAAACACTATCAACTTTCGATTTTCAAATGGCAATACCTATTTTCGATAACGAAAATCTATAAACATACTGAAAAAAAAACTTTAACGTTTACAGAATTTAATTTGAGTAAGCCGTTTACGACTTATTAATGCTGAAATATTCGTTAAATTTACTGCTACTGGGCAATTTTACAACCCAACTGTAAAAACCAGAAGTCAAAACGATATTTTATCTCAATTTAACAATACTCATAACGGTAATAATCAATAATAACAAGATAGATAAACAATACTATAAGAAAAAAAAAAGTGTTCCATCATCACTCCCACTTGAATACCGAGTGTCAGTGAACGACTATAGCAGTATAGCCATCCGCGGCCTGCAGCAGCTAGGCTTTATCATCAGCTATAAGGTATAAAAACATTTTAAATTTATCATAATGGTTACATAATATAGCACTGGTTACTGATCCCTGGTATGCGGTCTTATCACGTATTTGTAGATAAACGATAATAAATGTCGGTAAACTGTTTCTGAAAACATGTGGTTATTGAGTTTCCCATTATCAAATATTAATTTTTAATTAATTATTATTCTTTGAACGTTAAACCACAGAATACGCTTTAAGTAAATTCTTAATTATGTGTATTATTTAAAATATAAATTTAAAGTTTAGGTAAGCCAATTATTCCAATGCATACCTATTATATTTTTTGATAGTGTTTTAATGTTGTATTTTGGTTCACAAATTTGTATTTAATTAAAAATATACTTCTATCCAATCAGAAATATTATTATGTATATGGGAATCAGATTTCATACTTAGCCGACAACTTTATTTGTATAATTTATTGGTAAGTTCAATCTAAAATTAATATATTAGAATTTTATTTTTTTATTAAATGATTTATACATAGGTACATATTATTGACAAATAATAACCAGGGTTAAAATATTTTAATTTTATTTCAGTGGCAATTAGTAGAGTTTACATAATTCATCAAAAAATACAGTGAACTATATGACTAGACAACTAAATTTGCTCAGAAATTAATGCAAATTCATATTGCTTTCTACTGGTACCTATCTGATGACTATAAATTAATATGGAATAAAGGAATACAATATACATACATATTTCTATATTATATTATAATCTTTCAACAAACTAAACAATCAATTATGTAAGTATGAATTGTTTTTTTAATAAATAATAACCAGGGTTAAAATATTTTAATTTTATTTCAGTGGTAATTAGTAGAGTTTATATAATTAATCAAAAAATACAGTGAACTATATGACTAGACAGGTCAATTTGACCAGCAATTAATGCAAATTTACATTGCTTGCTACTGGTACCTATCTGATGACTATAAATTAATATGGAATAAAGGAATACAATATACATACATATTTCTATATTATATTATAATCTTTCAATAAACTAAACAATCAATTATGTAAGTATGAATTGTTTTTTTAATAAATAATAACCAGGGTTAAAATATTTTTATTTTATTTCAGTGGTAATTAGTAGAGTTTATATAATTAATCAAAAAATACAGTGAACTATATGACTAGACAGGTCAATTTGACCAGCAATTAATGCAAATTTACATTGCTTGCTACTGGTACCTATCTGATGACTATAAATTAATATGGAATAAAGGAATACAATATACATACATATTTCTATATTATATTATAATCTTTCAACAAACTAAACAATCAATTATGTAAGTATGAATTGTTTTTTTAATAAATAATAACCAGGGTTAAAATATTTTTATTTTATTTCAGTGGTAATTAGTAGAGTTTATATAATTAATCAAAAAATACAGTGAACTATATGACTAGACAGGTCAATTTGACCAGCAATTAATGCAAATTTACATTGCTTGCTACTGGTACCTATCTGATGACTATAAATTAATATGGAACAAAAGAATAAAATATCCATATTTTACTTATTTTAATCTTTATAGAAACTAAGCAATTTATTATGTAAGTATGAATTTTTATATAAAATAAATAATTTGATGTTTATCATAATTTTTGCTTATTTTTTAGATAATTAATTTTGTTTTCTTTCAAATTTCAATTGCAATTAGTAGTACTAACTTTTAATTCAAATATCTATAACAAGATTGGATGCACAAATACAAAATGTTATTTTGGTTAGTTACAGCATAGTACAACTCACCTGATAACTTAATAAGTATGAATAAATAATTATTTTTTTCTATAGAATAAATCATTTCTATAAATAATTTAATGTTTTTTTTTAGTTGCATTCAGATAAAAAAAAACAGTGCAGAATCAAAACCAACAACTACTTCTACATTTATAAAATTTATTGATGGTCACATTAACAATTAATTGTATGTTTAAATAATTAGGTTAAGTTATTGATTTACTAATTTCCATAATTAGGGCTATGGAGTTTTTATTAAACTGAATTGGTAAATTGGAAATTTTTTTTTATATGATACCTAGTGTCATTTTTATGCAATATTAAAAGATTTTTATATCATAAAATTGTAATTAAAAAATAACATTATTTCAAAAATAAGTGTAAAAGTGAATAATTTTTTAAGACATCCATAGCCCTAAAAATATACTGTAATCTAGAGTAGATAATATAAAGTATGTTCAATGTTCATTTAATTTTTATTAATTTATCTAGGGTAGTGGTCATGTTAAGTGTTAATATTTTTTATTAGTTATGACCTTACCCAAATCCTGCAAAAATTTGCACTACGGAAATTTGCTTATACTCTAGTAAAATTATTGATAATTAATGTGTTTATTGCCATTGATAATTTAGTATTGAATTAATGTCCATTATTTGGTCTATTCACACACAAGATAGTTTGATATAAAACGCAAATTATACATTATACAAAAATCCCAGAATACCTAATATTTATAAATGGAGAGTCAGGTAGGCACTATGAACATAGTGCCAACATAGAACATAGGTTCTCGGCCTACAGCCCCACATCAGATTGACAATACAGGACTCAATTCCTTGATGCACAAAACAATGTAATATCAGTTTAATGTAGGTTATTTGTTGTGTCACTTTATTTGTAATCAAAATAACTTACATATTCTATTTTTTTTTTTTAGTATACTTAGATTGATTTGTAATTATTTATTTTTAATGAAATGAAAACCTTAAATGATAGGGGCGTTGTAAAAATGTATAACTAAAAAAAAAGAATGTGTGAATAGACCTTTAACTACTTTAGTCTGGCTCTAAATTCTGAATCCAAGTACATAAATTATACATTTGTATCTGTGTATTTATGAATTATTTTTCTAAATACATGGAAATTGTTGATTTACTTTGTTTTAAAATGAATAAATGCTATCTGTTTAATATAATCATTTACTATAGTAAATTAAGATACACTGTTGGATACCAAATTCGTTATGTTCAAATTTCGCGCGACGCGTCCGGCACGTCCGTGTCGCAATGTTTGTCACCCTGTTGCTCAGCCGTCGACTCTACGCGGTTGAACTTTGTACCCCCGAAGAGGGGACGGACGTGTCGCCATCGTTCTTCCAGCGGTCGGCCGCCGCCGCTTGTCTTTGTCGTTTCCGAGCCGTCTTGGCAATTGTATTGTTTTTCGTCGCGATCCGGTGTCACGCCGCCGTCAACACGCCATTTTATGCGTTCCGTGAACCCGAGCCTCGCTGCTCATGAACTCGTCGCGAACGCCAGTTTTCCGCGATTCGAGTTTTCGGCCGCCCGTGCCGACACCACGGCTTATTTTGTTTTGTTCGTCGCCCGCCCGATCTATTCGCTGCGCGACCCCGAGCCGTGGTCACCCACGTGTCCACGTGGTTCCGTCCGTCCACCTTGTCGCAGTGCGAAACCACCGAGCGCGGTACGCTAATTTAATTGCTGTATCGTTCGACCGCTTGTGTCGGGATACAACCCTATTTTGTGTTTTTTCGTCGCTCGCCCGACTCGCTGTGCGTTTCGAGCCCTCGTGTTTCCGCCCGCCCGTCCTACGCAGTGCGAACCGTGGTTAAGCTCGTTTGTTGTCTTTTGTGCCGCGTCTCTACGCCAAGACAACTGATGGTCACGCGAGATCGTTTCGCGATTTCCTTCTAACAGGAATACGAGTTTGTGTCCGCGTCGTCCAATATTTCGGAGTACCTCCCCTTCACCGTCGCTCATCAGCCGTGCGTACGCAGTGTCGTCGATCCATTCGACGAGAGCACAAGTGTCGCCGTCAGGTCAACACCCGCAACCGGTATCGACGTCGCACTGGGTCAACAGCAGCATCGTCGTCGCGGTATCAATCCGCGTTATCATACCAGGTCGTACACACGTTATCAGGTTATCTACTGTCAATATTGTTATTTGTTGTTATTTATTATTCGCATCACGCGAGCTGTGTATTATTTTCATTGATTTATTTTGCCGATCGGATTGTGATCGCGCACACTATTTATTATTACTAACCCTAGTCGTTAAGCTATTACATCTGCAGAACATTACAATAAATTGTTCTGTACATTTTTCATACCACAAACGTAATTGTTAACATTCATTATAAGACCTAAAATTTCACTATTTTGAATCTATTCTAAATACAGTCCACTCTCCCCTTCTTACAGGGCTATCGACAGGTGACGCGTAAGTATTTACACGCCCGATGCGTA